TAAAATAGTCTGTGCTGTGCTCCAATTATTGAGTATTGAAATAAACAGTAATTACAGGTGTGTATTAGGTATAATTTTCCACATCTGTATTTCAATGTTCAAGAATCTCTCTAATAAACAGAACTAATTTTGTCAGTATTGAGTAAATTTAATAATATTACTTTATCTTTAAGCCATTGACAGCAAGCAGGAAATTCAGTTTTTAATGAGATCTAATCTGTAGTTGTAATACAAAAAGCACATTTTTGGTATAGAAAAAATGAATATTACAATTTATACTCTACGTATTAGTTTGTGTCTTCCTTAGAATCATATCTACATTTTGTTGTAGCGGTGTATGTTACCTATAAGTGCTAAATGTCATTTATTACAGTCAAAATTACGTGACTTGATGATCAATTCCCGTGCATGAGTTGTGTCGTATACAGATAAAGTAAAAGGATAAATGATCCACAAACACTTTTGAAGCGCTTGTAGCGAATAGGAGTTGTTATAAATATAGATACCTATATAATTATAGCAAAAAGAATGGTGCTAATTTCGTATGCTTCTCTTTTTAACAAATATTTTTTATATTATTATTAACTTTCGGCGTATTTAACCACTAGTTTTAAAATATAAAAGAAAACTAGAAGAAGAGTTTCTCATGAAAAAATAGCTAATTCGTACAGGTACGTTTACTTTGTTAGAAATACTTTTTCCTTTCTATTACAAAATCAATTTAATGTTTAAGATACAAAGTATACAAAGCAATTTGTAAGTGAGTGAAACACAGGGTTTTACTACCTACTAATTTCCGTCAGTCGATGTCAGAGTTCTGCATAAAATAAAATGAAAAATAAAGCAAAAGTAGCGCTTTTAGTTGAAACAGACACGCCTCGTGCTTCCGTGTCCTTTATGTAGTCCCGAAGGAAAGGGTGTGCCATTTAAGGGAGTGCCGCGAAATGTCATCCTTATTGAATGAAGTCAGATTTTCGCGATTCGCCTTATTGTTTCATTAACGTCTTGACGAATTCTCTCACACGCACTCGTAACAATAGAGTCTAACCGTCATTTAAGTGTTATTATCATCTTTATTACTTGGGATTACTTAATTCACTCAAACGAAAATCATGTTTGAATATACATATACTTCCTTTATTCGTGGATAACGTCGAAACGTATTGCGAGATTTGTCGATCCGTGTATTTTGGCAATAAAAAAGGTTTGAAACGTTTTGCCATTGCATACAACGTGTATGAAAAGTCGGGGATGCTAGATATAAAACAGAGAAGGATGCATTTTGTAAAAAACGCATTGATTCTACACTTAAAATGGTATATATGTAAATAGTTTATTCAAACTTCCTTGGTTATTTACATTTCATTCTTTTCCGTTTCCCATCCTTCATGCTGCATCTCTAACAATAAAAGAAGTACCTTCCCTACTTATTATCGTACCCTGTTTTGAATGTATTATAATAAATCTAAGAGTAATTCTATTTTATAATAATGTCAACAGAATAAGATAATATTTATTTTTCCTCTTTTACTTATATCTACGCGTAAACCTTTTTTTGTCTAACTATTGTTATCTACCCTCCCTTTCCCTTTTTCTTTTCTTTAAAATTTCTATTGATACTGTCAGTCCCCTACCATTTTCATTTATCAATTTTCTATACATTCTTCCCTTGCTTTATCGTTTACATCCTCTTCTAAAACATGTCTTAACGTCTCATTCCCTTTTCAACATATTCTATCTTTTCTGCTCTCTTCTTTCATACAGCACATTCTTTCATTACATTCATTCTCCATTCTAAATTTCGCTATTACTGCTATACCCTCTCTTTCCCTCAAGTATTCTAGTAATGAGTCCTCTTGCCATTCTTCTCACAGCAATTCTTTCAACCCTTTCACATATTTTAACTTTTCTATACTTTTTAACTATTTTCCTCTTATTATTTCGTAACTCCTTTTCTTCACCATATTCTCTACATCCATTCTCTCTCTTCTCCATTCCTCTAGTTGTTCCTGATTTCTACATTTTTTTTTCCCTTCACATAATATAATCGGCTGTACTTTTTTCAAGTTTAGAAGCCATTTGATATACTTCTTCCCTACATTGTACCTTTTTGTACTCTTTCTATCCTATATCTCTACTCCATAAAATACTACACCTTGGATTATTGAATTAAACACTTAAAATGATGTAAATCAAATAAATATTATATTTAATGAAGAATCTGAAGCAACCTCTAGGGATGAAAACTTTTTAGGGACTGCAAAGTAGCATCAATAGAAATGAAGAACTTGACAGTAGGTAACAACCAAAACTTCCCGGAATTGTAACTTTGTGATTTTCATAAACTACAGTAATGAAGTGTCTTTTCTGTTGATGTTACCTACTTCTAATTTGCAGATACAAATTACAGGCCTGATGAAATTTTAATAACTTACTGTAAAGCGAAACATTCGCATGGTTATATAACGAAATAAAAAATATTTCACCCCATGAGTTTGCTTGGGTTTATTCATTGAAATATATTACGGGAAGAATTGGGAAGAATGCTTTCAACTTTAGTATGTGTGTATTACTGAAATTATAATGTACGTATTATACAGATAAACGAAAGCAGCAATATTACTATAATCTTTAAGGAGTGTTTAACTGATAAGATATGAATTCACTATTTTTTTGTTAGTCACAAAAACGTTACTAGCAAGATACATGAGAAGAAATGTTTTAATAAATAAAATTAAAATAGTCTGTGCTGTGCTCCAATTATTGAGTATTGAAATAAACAGTAATTACAGGTGTGTATTAGGTATAATTTTCCACATCTGTATTTCAATGTTCAAGAATCTCTCTAATAAACAGAACTAATTTTGTCAGTATTGAGTAAATTTAATAATATTACTTTATCTTTAAGCCATTGACAGCAAGCAGGAAATTCAGTTTTTAATGAGATCTAATCTGTAGTTGTAATACAAAAAGCACATTTTTGGTATAGAAAAAATGAATATTACAATTTATACTCTACGTATTAGTTTGTGTCTTCCTTAGAATCATATCTACATTTTGTTGTAGCGGTGTATGTTACCTATAAGTGCTAAATGTCATTTATTACAGTCAAAATTACGTGACTTGATGATCAATTCCCGTGCATGAGTTGTGTCGTATACAGATAAAGTAAAAGGATAAATGATCCACAAACACTTTTGAAGCGCTTGTAGCGAATAGGAGTTGTTATAAATATAGATACCTATATAATTATAGCAAAAAGAATGGTGCTAATTTCGTATGCTTCTCTTTTTAACAAATATTTTTTATATTATTATTAACTTTCGGCGTATTTAACCACTAGTTTTAAAATATAAAAGAAAACTAGAAGAAGAGTTTCTCATGAAAAAATAGCTAATTCGTACAGGTACGTTTACTTTGTTAGAAATACTTTTTCCTTTCTATTACAAAATCAATTTAATGTTTAAGATACAAAGTATACAAAGCAATTTGTAAGTGAGTGAAACACAGGGTTTTACTACCTACTAATTTCCGTCAGTCGATGTCAGAGTTCTGCATAAAATAAAATGAAAAATAAAGCAAAAGTAGCGCTTTTAGTTGAAACAGACACGCCTCGTGCTTCCGTGTCCTTTATGTAGTCCCGAAGGAAAGGGTGTGCCATTTAAGGGAGTGCCGCGAAATGTCATCCTTATTGAATGAAGTCAGATTTTCGCGATTCGCCTTATTGTTTCATTAACGTCTTGACGAATTCTCTCACACGCACTCGTAACAATAGAGTCTAACCGTCATTTAAGTGTTATTATCATCTTTATTACTTGGGATTACTTAATTCACTCAAACGAAAATCATGTTTGAATATACATATACTTCCTTTATTCGTGGATAACGTCGAAACGTATTGCGAGATTTGTCGATCCGTGTATTTTGGCAATAAAAAAGGTTTGAAACGTTTTGCCATTGCATACAACGTGTATGAAAAGTCGGGGATGCTAGATATAAAACAGAGAAGGATGCATTTTGTAAAAAACGCATTGATTCTACACTTAAAATGGTATATATGTAAATAGTTTATTCAAACTTCCTTGGTTATTTACATTTCATTCTTTTCCGTTTCCCATCCTTCATGCTGCATCTCTAACAATAAAAGAAGTACCTTCCCTACTTATTATCGTACCCTGTTTTGAATGTATTATAATAAATCTAAGAGTAATTCTATTTTATAATAATGTCAACAGAATAAGATAATATTTATTTTTCCTCTTTTACTTATATCTACGCGTAAACCTTTTTTTGTCTAACTATTGTTATCTACCCTCCCTTTCCCTTTTTCTTTTCTTTAAAATTTCTATTGATACTGTCAGTCCCCTACCATTTTCATTTATCAATTTTCTATACATTCTTCCCTTGCTTTATCGTTTACATCCTCTTCTAAAACATGTCTTAACGTCTCATTCCCTTTTCAACATATTCTATCTTTTCTGCTCTCTTCTTTCATACAGCACATTCTTTCATTACATTCATTCTCCATTCTAAATTTCGCTATTACTGCTATACCCTCTCTTTCCCTCAAGTATTCTAGTAATGAGTCCTCTTGCCATTCTTCTCACAGCAATTCTTTCAACCCTTTCACATATTTTAACTTTTCTATACTTTTTAACTATTTTCCTCTTATTATTTCGTAACTCCTTTTCTTCACCATATTCTCTACATCCATTCTCTCTCTTCTCCATTCCTCTAGTTGTTCCTGATTTCTACATTTTTTTTTCCCTTCACATAATATAATCGGCTGTACTTTTTTCAAGTTTAGAAGCCATTTGATATACTTCTTCCCTACATTGTACCTTTTTGTACTCTTTCTATCCTATATCTCTACTCCATAAAATACTACACCTTGGATTATTGAATTAAACACTTAAAATGATGTAAATCAAATAAATATTATATTTAATGAAGAATCTGAAGCAACCTCTAGGGATGAAAACTTTTTAGGGACTGCAAAGTAGCATCAATAGAAATGAAGAACTTGACAGTAGGTAACAACCAAAACTTCCCGGAATTGTAACTTTGTGATTTTCATAAACTACAGTAATGAAGTGTCTTTTCTGTTGATGTTACCTACTTCTAATTTGCAGATACAAATTACAGGCCTGATGAAATTTTAATAACTTACTGTAAAGCGAAACATTCGCATGGTTATATAACGAAATAAAAAATATTTCACCCCATGAGTTTGCTTGGGTTTATTCATTGAAATATATTACGGGAAGAATTGGGAAGAATGCTTTCAACTTTAGTATGTGTGTATTACTGAAATTATAATGTACGTATTATACAGATAAACGAAAGCAGCAATATTACTATAATCTTTAAGGAGTGTTTAACTGATAAGATATGAATTCACTATTTTTTTGTTAGTCACAAAAACGTTACTAGCAAGATACATGAGAAGAAATGTTTTAATAAATAAAATTAAAATAGTCTGTGCTGTGCTCCAATTATTGAGTATTGAAATAAACAGTAATTACAGGTGTGTATTAGGTATAATTTTCCACATCTGTATTTCAATGTTCAAGAATCTCTCTAATAAACAGAACTAATTTTGTCAGTATTGAGTAAATTTAATAATATTACTTTATCTTTAAGCCATTGACAGCAAGCAGGAAATTCAGTTTTTAATGAGATCTAATCTGTAGTTGTAATACAAAAAGCACATTTTTGGTATAGAAAAAATGAATATTACAATTTATACTCTACGTATTAGTTTGTGTCTTCCTTAGAATCATATCTACATTTTGTTGTAGCGGTGTATGTTACCTATAAGTGCTAAATGTCATTTATTACAGTCAAAATTACGTGACTTGATGATCAATTCCCGTGCATGAGTTGTGTCGTATACAGATAAAGTAAAAGGATAAATGATCCACAAACACTTTTGAAGCGCTTGTAGCGAATAGGAACTGCGAATACTTTATGATCCGTCAGATAATAGACTTTTGAAGGGTGGAAATAGCCGGTTAATTAAATTCGTTTACCGGTTTTATCTTCTTCTTTTGCGTAATTTGAACATAACATTCATAGTTGCCGTTTATGGAATAGAAACAAAAATTATACGGCCAATAATAGGGTTGCGAAAGAGCGACTGACGATATAAGAAAGTTTTTTCATTCCTTTTTGAAGCTGATGACGTTTAAATAAATAATAAGATAGGGAGANTAATAATAAATAATGGAGATACAATAAAAAAATATTGCAGATTAAATCCTTGGAGAAGAACAAATGGTCACACGAGAATAGAGGAAAAAAATATTAAGCTGAGGAGTATGACACAAAATAAAAATAAAGGAATAATACCAAATAGGAGTAACAACTAAATCAAAAGAAGAAAAGGAGAAAGAAACTAAAGAGAAAATGATGAATGAAATACAATAAAAACCGATGAATTTATTAAAAGGAAAAGAATTAGATAGAGATAATAAAAGAATATCATTTACTATTTTATAAGAAACATGTGAGAAACAGATAAGTTTCCTTCTATTATACTTACAGTTTATATTTGTATACTGTTTCCTCCTTTTTTTGCGAAAATGTGTCTTAGTATGGGATAGAGTTTTTTCAATAACTACAGCATGAACATTCACCAAGCCTCGTTGAACAATAGGCCTTCCTATTAGAGAGAAGTCCTTTGCTCCAAGTACAAGAACCTGCAGGGACAATATGATCAATGTTTGCAAAACATTAGAAATTATTAAGTACTTTATTTAAATTCAGTTTATCTCCAATGTCTGGGGGCCAGTAACCTTCAATAACTATCAAATCTCCAGTAGTAATTTTAAATTGTTTACCAGCTACATGTACTACTGCAAACATACGACCTTGCTGGTTATTAGCTATCTGGTTACTTACTTTCTGAATAACATCTACAAGAAAGGTTATCATGTTTTGAATATACTAATGAAAAACAAACCTTTAGAAACATTTTCATCGTGTTTAGGATCAACTATTTGATAGGATTGAAGATCTGACTGTGATCTGATAATGTTTTGAAGTATGGTGGTATTTTTAGGATAATTCCGTAATTTTAAGGAGTTCACATAAAGCCTACTATTACCGATTAGGCGACTCACTAAGAAAGACATTATCTGTATATAAAATATCTTTAATTACTCTTTTCTAAAAGCATTTATAAAAACTTCTATTATTAGTTGAAAAATGTTGAAGATAAATATAACCTAACTTCCAGCAAGGTTATGTTTTTCCACCATAGATTAGATTTCCACTTATAAATAAACTTGAACGGATTGCCAATCTTACAACTATCTAACCTGTAATATTTTTAATTGTACTACAATTATTTAAAGAAATTAAATTTAGGCATTAAAATAACGCTCAGAAATTACTTAATACTTACGTTTGGTTTTGACAAAAAATGCTTTAGATATTATTTTTATTTAATGGAAAAGGTACGTAAATTTCAAAATTGGTAGAACTGATTTTAAACTTTTTCATACATTCATTTGTTTTTTTATCAAAACAGCCACACATAAGTAGTTAAAAGTTGTTGATAAGTTGTTTGTGTTTGTTAATTTGCCGTTACAACAGTGTAAAAAGGTTATTATTTGCCAATTTATTTAAAAATATGTTAAATAAGTGGAACTTTTTAAGGAAAAGGTGTTTTGCAAATGAAGCGGAATACCAAGCTTTACCACAGACATCGGAAGAATTTTACATTCAAGGTAATTTTAAATAAATTTTGTGTTTGTTTATATACCTATATTTTAATTTAATAACGTTGTTTTTAACGGTTAACATCCGATATTTTGCATGATTGTATAGATGTATTTTTAATGTTGGTTTTGATATGTACCTATACCTTTATAACCACTGATAAAAAATGTAATAATTATCCAAATAAGTGTTACATTTCTTTGTGATGTATTTTAATTTTGTCAATAATTTTTGTATTTTGATTCTTTAAAGAAGTGTAGTTTTTTTAAATAATCTAATTTTGTTGAAATCTCATATTGAAATACATACATCAGTGCTTAAATTTATTGTCTTATACCGTCTTTCAACCTTCAAGCAGACCAAAGACCAAAGACCAGTTCTAAATTAAACGGTCAGACCTTTCAATTTTTCGTGATTAGAATTTATCATTTATCATTTCTGTAGATTTAGGCCATTCTAAAAAAAGCCTAGAAAAGGCAATTTCCAAAATGGAACCCGCGCAATTTACTGCAATTACAGTGTGGAGCTGTTTATGTTTATGAGCTTCTGATCATAAGTTCTTACGGGCATGAGATCCTAAACTACGAATCGAAGTAGCACACAATTTTCAGTCTATTTAAATGTATAATAACTTTATCTACGGTTATCTCTTGAGGTAGTAGGTACTCTAAAAATGCAAAAATGTCCAAGAAAAAGTTATTGGATCTAAAAGGGAGCACCTTTTTAGTGCAATCTTGATGACTACTACTAAGGTCATTTCGGAAATACAGTTGCTCTTGAATCGAACTGGGATATAGTTATAGAGACGAGGCTGAAGAGACCATTTAGACCCAACAACTTTTGAAGATATTGGTCATTTCTACATAAATATGTATCTTGAGTGCTTGAAGAAATAATCGATTGAAAATCCTATGTTTTAAGCATTAGATAGATTTTAGACTGAAAATCATGAGCTGCTTCGATCCGTGGGTCAGATTTTTTTTTGATCTCGTGAACATGGGAACTTTTGATCACAAAGTCGTAAAAAATATCATACTCCAATTGCAGTCAAGTTGATTGTGCGGGGTTCTATATGTTGCTTCTCAAATTAATTGAAATAAATTTCTTGTTTTCAAACAAAGTTAGTCAATTTCTAGCAGACTGATACTAGATATAGTTGATTGATTTATTCATTATAAAGATTAAAACGTATTTATCAGTTTTTACATTAATCTAAACGAATATAGTTGGAGATTATTAAAATAACCACGTCTTTTGTTTATTTGTTTTAGTTATTCAATTTTTTTTATAAACCCGCCAAACTTTTCTCTTTTAATATACTATAGATATAGGTACCCAAGTATAGCCAATAGTACAATTTGTATGAACTGAAAATAACTGTCTTTATGTGACTCTTTTCGGTATTTTTCTTTGATTTATTTTAGAAGAAATTTCGATATTTTCGTTGTCGAAAAGTTTTTTACTCCAGCGAAGAGTAAGCAGTAGTTGCGCATAACTTTTTCGCGCACAATTATAATTTAATGATTTAATTAGCTTAGCTTCTAGTTTTTACATACGTGTTATTACGCGTTACCCATGCGTTACCCGTTACCTTTATTTGTATTCAAATTGTTGTGTTGTGTGGATGTGTTTGCTACGCAATGACTTTTTTTAAGGCTTTAGTCAAATATTCCGCCATCCGTGAAATAAAATATTTGAAGCTGTGCAATACATATACATATATACATATATGTTACAGAAAGTGACTTATATAAACAATTTAATCAGAGAACTCTCAAAGGTAGATATTCTAAATAATTTGTTTTTGTATTGCCTCAAATTAGTACAACATGCACTTTTTATAGTTTATTTTACTTCTTTTTATGTGCCTAAGTCCCGAGAAAATGTTCTAATAATGCATTATTGAATGGTTACAAAGCAAGTCTTTAAAATTACGAGTGTTCCGAGAATTGGTTTAATAATTTTCATACTAAAACTTTTGTAGAACGCGTGCTGTAGTGTTTGTCGTTAGAAGTAGTGTAACACGCATAGGTATGAAGGTATACAAAATCGTAAAAGGTAGTTGTCTGACGTCAGTTTCCGTTTTTGTATTTAATGAATAACTGCAAATTAGAATAAAGCAAAATAGAAATTTGATGTAGTAATGTTACAAACTTACACATTTTTCATTTATTTATTTTTTAAATACTCATCGTCAAAAACATGTATGCGTAAGAGAATTTTAGAAGAGATAGAATATAGAGACAGTAATATTCTAAAAATGTGTTCATTCAGGAAAATTTCTTCGTTTTATCTTTCTGGATTTCGTAGCTCAAAATTTGAAAGCGCTAATTATAAATAGCAAAGAAATATACACATATATACAGGTATGTATGTATGTATTCTGAGAGATATATTGAGTGATTTTGCGGAAAATGTACTCCAAAGAATTCTTCTTTATAAATATAAAGGAAAAACGTTTACTAAACTTCACAAGTAAATTGTAGAACAGCCTACGTTTTAAGATTAGGTACTTGCTTTAATATTACCTTATAAATGTAAATTTACGGTCGGAAATTTTAATCAATGGAATCTTCTTCTGATTCAATAATTTGTTGAAACAAATTTTGATAAACTCATTAACCTATGTCTTCCTTCTTAATATGTAGGATCTAAGTAATGCTCACAAATTAAATGATTTGAATACTTATCCAAATATTTGAATATTCAAAATTTTAAATATCTAGACACTCGAGCGCCTATTTAAATGCAAGGTTGAGGTTCTCTGTCCCGCATAAGTACTCGGAGAAGTAAGTTATTAAATGTTTGTATTAATAGTTCCTAAGTTCCACTTTGTTGTCAAGTATTCATTTTCGAATAAGAATGGATGAAATATTTTTCAGGTTTAATTTTTTTTAATATTAAGTGTTGAAATCATCATATATCGAATATTGGAATATTTAAATCTTTAATTTTTTGATTGATTCATAGTAATGTCACAATATCACGAGGAAAAAGAAAATCATATACAATAGATTGGTGCATATTGTACTAATAACAACAATTTTTCTTAGAAATAATGTTTAATAAATAGTAAAACTCAAGATTAGCCTAACCACATAGCTAAATGGACAATGTCCGAGACCGCAACTCTTTGAGGTGGAAACTTTGTTAGAACTTTGTATAAATTTTATGTTTCTATTTGTTAATTTGTCTGTAATAATTTATTGACCTTTTCTCCTTCTGAAACCTTTATTGTAAAGCTTCACTGGTCTTCCAACTCCTGCCACCCTTAAGGTGTATTTTCCTATAAAGGAAAGCGTGTATGTTATTTGTTAATAGCCGACGTACACTTAGAACTGTTCTAAATACGCGTTATTATTATTAATTATTGAATAACTAACACTGTTTTCGATTACTGTATTTCTACAAAAGAGACTTATCAAAAGTTTAATCTAAATTGCCCTTCGTAAATCCAGGAAAATTGTTCTTTCTTCAGTTCAGTTTAGTTGGAGCTTTAAATTAATGAAATTAAGAATTTTTTTGGCTAGTTTCCTTGACTATCTAAAGTGATATCTATTAAAAGCAATTAAAAATCTGTAAACCTGTACAATCTCTGCAAGTATAAGTTGGATTTTAAAAATTAATTTTTAAATCTATGCAGTTTCCATTTCTTCATGTTTTGAANGGTGTATGTTACCTATAAGTGCTAAATGTCATTTATTACAGTCAAAATTACGTGACTTGATGATCAATTCCCGTGCATGAGTTGTGTCGTATACAGATAAAGTAAAAGGATAAATGATCCACAAACACTTTTGAAGCGCTTGTAGCGAATAGGAGTTGTTATAAATATAGATACCTATATAATTATAGCAAAAAGAATGGTGCTAATTTCGTATGCTTCTCTTTTTAACAAATATTTTTTATATTATTATTAACTTTCGGCGTATTTAACCACTAGTTTTAAAATATAAAAGAAAACTAGAAGAAGAGTTTCTCATGAAAAAATAGCTAATTCGTACAGGTACGTTTACTTTGTTAGAAATACTTTTTCCTTTCTATTACAAAATCAATTTAATGTTTAAGATACAAAGTATACAAAGCAATTTGTAAGTGAGTGAAACACAGGGTTTTACTACCTACTAATTTCCGTCAGTCGATGTCAGAGTTCTGCATAAAATAAAATGAAAAATAAAGCAAAAGTAGCGCTTTTAGTTGAAACAGACACGCCTCGTGCTTCCGTGTCCTTTATGTAGTCCCGAAGGAAAGGGTGTGCCATTTAAGGGAGTGCCGCGAAATGTCATCCTTATTGAATGAAGTCAGATTTTCGCGATTCGCCTTATTGTTTCATTAACGTCTTGACGAATTCTCTCACACGCACTCGTAACAATAGAGTCTAACCGTCATTTAAGTGTTATTATCATCTTTATTACTTGGGATTACTTAATTCACTCAAACGAAAATCATGTTTGAATATACATATACTTCCTTTATTCGTGGATAACGTCGAAACGTATTGCGAGATTTGTCGATCCGTGTATTTTGGCAATAAAAAAGGTTTGAAACGTTTTGCCATTGCATACAACGTGTATGAAAAGTCGGGGATGCTAGATATAAAACAGAGAAGGATGCATTTTGTAAAAAACGCATTGATTCTACACTTAAAATGGTATATATGTAAATAGTTTATTCAAACTTCCTTGGTTATTTACATTTCATTCTTTTCCGTTTCCCATCCTTCATGCTGCATCTCTAACAATAAAAGAAGTACCTTCCCTACTTATTATCGTACCCTGTTTTGAATGTATTATAATAAATCTAAGAGTAATTCTATTTTATAATAATGTCAACAGAATAAGATAATATTTATTTTTCCTCTTTTACTTATATCTACGCGTAAACCTTTTTTTGTCTAACTATTGTTATCTACCCTCCCTTTCCCTTTTTCTTTTCTTTAAAATTTCTATTGATACTGTCAGTCCCCTACCATTTTCATTTATCAATTTTCTATACATTCTTCCCTTGCTTTATCGTTTACATCCTCTTCTAAAACATGTCTTAACGTCTCATTCCCTTTTCAACATATTCTATCTTTTCTGCTCTCTTCTTTCATACAGCACATTCTTTCATTACATTCATTCTCCATTCTAAATTTCGCTATTACTGCTATACCCTCTCTTTCCCTCAAGTATTCTAGTAATGAGTCCTCTTGCCATTCTTCTCACAGCAATTCTTTCAACCCTTTCACATATTTTAACTTTTCTATACTTTTTAACTATTTTCCTCTTATTATTTCGTAACTCCTTTTCTTCACCATATTCTCTACATCCATTCTCTCTCTTCTCCATTCCTCTAGTTGTTCCTGATTTCTACATTTTTTTTTCCCTTCACATAATATAATCGGCTGTACTTTTTTCAAGTTTAGAAGCCATTTGATATACTTCTTCCCTACATTGTACCTTTTTGTACTCTTTCTATCCTATATCTCTACTCCATAAAATACTACACCTTGGATTATTGAATTAAACACTTAAAATGATGTAAATCAAATAAATATTATATTTAATGAAGAATCTGAAGCAACCTCTAGGGATGAAAACTTTTTAGGGACTGCAAAGTAGCATCAATAGAAATGAAGAACTTGACAGTAGGTAACAACCAAAACTTCCCGGAATTGTAACTTTGTGATTTTCATAAACTACAGTAATGAAGTGTCTTTTCTGTTGATGTTACCTACTTCTAATTTGCAGATACAAATTACAGGCCTGATGAAATTTTAATAACTTACTGTAAAGCGAAACATTCGCATGGTTATATAACGAAATAAAAAATATTTCACCCCATGAGTTTGCTTGGGTTTATTCATTGAAATATATTACGGGAAGAATTGGGAAGAATGCTTTCAACTTTAGTATGTGTGTATTACTGAAATTATAATGTACGTATTATACAGATAAACGAAAGCAGCAATATTACTATAATCTTTAAGGAGTGTTTAACTGATAAGATATGAATTCACTATTTTTTTGTTAGTCACAAAAACGTTACTAGCAAGATACATGAGAAGAAATGTTTTAATAAATAAAATTAAAATAGTCTGTGCTGTGCTCCAATTATTGAGTATTGAAATAAACAGTAATTACAGGTGTGTATTAGGTATAATTTTCCACATCTGTATTTCAATGTTCAAGAATCTCTCTAATAAACAGAACTAATTTTGTCAGTATTGAGTAAATTTAATAATATTACTTTATCTTTAAGCCATTGACAGCAAGCAGGAAATTCAGTTTTTAATGAGATCTAATCTGTAGTTGTAATACAAAAAGCACATTTTTGGTATAGAAAAAATGAATATTACAATTTATACTCTACGTATTAGTTTGTGTCTTCCTTAGAATCATATCTACATTTTGTTGTAGCGGTGTATGTTACCTATAAGTGCTAAATGTCATTTATTACAGTCAAAATTACGTGACTTGATGATCAATTCCCGTGCATGAGTTGTGTCGTATACAGATAAAGTAAAAGGATAAATGATCCACAAACACTTTTGAAGCGCTTGTAGCGAATAGGAACTGCGAATACTTTATGATCCGTCAGATAATAGACTTTTGAAGGGTGGAAATAGCCGGTTAATTAAATTCGTTTACCGGTTTTATCTTCTTCTTTTGCGTAATTTGAACATAACATTCATAGTTGCCGTTTATGGAATAGAAACAAAAATTATACGGCCAATAATAGGGTTGCGAAAGAGCGACTGACGATATAAGAAAGTTTTTTCATTCCTTTTTGAAGCTGATGACGTTTAAATAAATAATAAGATAGGGAGAGAAAGAAAGACGACGCGTTTATACTTTATTCATAATAACTTTAATATGTCTACTCCCATTTTAATCAGCATATATTTCTCCAGGGAAGTTCTAAATCAAAAAATTACCTCTACGGTTATTGGGTTCTAATCTAATTCTGTAGTTGGTACCAGATCCGGGACCCTAGTGAAGCCCTGTGATACCCAATTTTATTTTTTAATTTATTCGGGTCTTACATCCTTGAACCCAATAACTTTTGCAGAGGTTATTTTCCGATTTGTAACTTTCCTAGCGGAAGCATTAGGTTTTTATGCGAAATTTATTTTTGATCTCCACATATTAGACTAGAAAAAAATTCATGGATATTCTGCTTAAAAGAAAGGAATATGAGTATTCAATTCAGATGAAAAAGTTGGTCTAAATATTTTGTTTTTTTATCTTTTGATACATAAATTTCTTACCAAAATTGTCGCTTTCGCTTTGAGAAAATAAATGCATATAAAAATTAATTTATGGTTTAGGAACACTACTAGTAATTAAAAACAAACTTTTTGAAGTTTTTTTCAAACATTTTACATTATATTTTTGATTGGTTCTTTTTTTTAATGCAATCCGTACCAAAAATTCTTAATTTCTTAGTAGCAGAGTGCAAAACCCATATTTGCCAACTTTATGAAGATATTTAAGAATAGGTAGATTTTATTTTTTTGTGTATAACTTACATAAGATATTTTGTATTACTATCTTTAGAAGCATACAGTGTTTGCATTTTTTTTTGTCGTAATAAATGGTGAATGCGCTTGGCAAAACTAACAAAATTTGCCTTATAAATTCTTGTTATTACTTTTTGGTCCAATAATAATTAACTAGATTCCTTTAGAAATCTATATCTCAAAATGAATCCTTATTGTAGGATCATGTTATCGTGCGTCTTTCTCGCAGGCTCTTTCTTTAAGGAACGCTAGAAGTAAAGTCCATTCACTTAAAGAAAGGTACACAGTGTCAAATCGATATGCATGGACTGCTTTAATATGCGTAACTGTTAGAAGTTATTTACGGCGCCAGAGGCTTTAATCGGAAACATCTGACGGTAAACGATCGGTTATATTCGGGGGATCCGCCTACGACAGATATTCGTTTGTGCGTATCGTCAACGCTGTACCTTTCTTTAAGTGAACAGAAAATGTCGACAGCCCCATACTGCTGTAAGAAAACTCATAAAAACTTCGGATATCTGGAGTCTTCAAAATGCATCTTTTCATAAAATTGACATCATCATCATGAAGTCTTCAGTTGAAAACTGGTTGAACACACCTCCACTTCTTCCTATCTTGAACAAATTTTCTCATTTTTCTAAAGCTAAAGAATCTATGCCTACCTTTATTTACCCTTAACTCCTGTTTCTGCTTCTAAGTAGTCCTTAATCCCATGTCTGAGAAGGTGTTCTACCAACCTATTTCTCAGCTAATTGCCTATATAATTGTACTTGTTTCGCGTGTGGTCAAAATTCAACCAATTTGTTTTCATATCAAAATTACATAATACATTTGAACGTGTTCGATTTCCACCCTTTTTAATTTTTGTTTAAACTTCATTGTTTAATATAACCGTACGGAGGCAAGGTCCACTCACTTGTCCATATTTTTCATTTTACATGTAATATTTGTATTAGCTTTTAATTATTTAAAAATAATGGTTCTTTTTAGTCTTCATGTTAAAAATTGCGTCGATTTTCAGTGACCTAATAGACGAGCATTAGTATAATAACCTTTTTTTAATGTCAGCCGGTATCTATTCAGGCTGACGAACGATGCATTTAGTCATTTAGTGCACAGGAAATGTCTCTTAGCGCTTTCCTCCTGTCTAAGCATTATCCGTTAAATAAATGGTCACCATCCATCCATTCATTCATTCATCGATTCGCATTTTTTACTTTTAACAGTTTCCTTGGTTCGCTGTTCCGCGAAAATGTCAAATCATACGGATCGCTAGTCCGCCTATTTATTTAGTACTTGCGATACGGTCTCGCGTAGTTGTCGGCGTGTTAGTTGTTTTCCCCGGGAAAATGTGAATCAAAGGGATTTCGTCCTTGTTCGTTAGTGTCAGTCTGGCGCAGGTGGATAAGGTGGAAAGGGCTTAAAGTAGCTTTGTGGATCTCACAGCTGAACAATGCCATTACTTTCGGTGTTTTGTTCCTAGATCACTCGCACTGCCAATGAAAACGTATCAGGAACAAAAAGAAATTGAGGTGCGTTTCAACTTTTTATTTTGTTTGTGTGTTTACCGCGTAAATACGTTTTTATTTATATCAATTTAAAGAAAGTTAACAAAAAATTGTTTAACATTTTTTAAATTAAAACTAGAGACAATACGTTAAAAACCGTTCTATTTCTTCGTTAACTCCATCCCAGTTGAAAAGTAGTCGTAAGTAGTATGATAATATGTAAAAAAAAAATTATTACTGATCTTCACTAAATTTTGTTTCTAATTTTTTTCANCTTAGATTTTATACAGTAATTAATATTTTTAATATCTTGTTGAAAAAAATTCTGAACTGAAACAAAACCTCGGAATATCTAGTTGATAATACTATGTCCCGTACAATTTTCGGAAGAAATAAAGGATAAATTATCCAACGATAAAATATTGAAGTGGTAGTGTCCTTGTTGTTTGTTATTTTATTGCATTCGTTCTTATATTTTCTACTTTTTAAAGATTGCTTCTTTCTTCTTATAAACTTTTTAACGTGCTTTTGTATTTGGACTTATCGAGATTCTACTGTTTTTTTTTCTCGTTTTATAAGGTTTTTTTTTAATTTTTTTCGTATATATAGCGCATCTTTATCGTATTTTCTATATGCCATCTCTTCAACAATTTATAAGAATTAACTACAAAGTTATATGGTACAAAAGATAAAAAGTCAGAATAATGTCATCTTACCTTTAATGATATAATTTGTAAAAAATGTAAAATATAAACTAATGTACAAAGTAGCGCATGATCTTCGTATGAAATTTACTTTGCAATGTTATCTTATGTAGCATGATTATTATTAGTAATCAAAGGTCATGAAATTACGTACATAGAAATATATTCCCATGGACATCGACAGCATCTAAATATAATAAGCAAAATTTTTAAAAATAGACATTGGCGACATGCTTACTCGAATTTAATAACAGTTAAAAAATACTTTTTGCGATATATCAGTCTTTAAATTTCCATTTACGCTGCTTCGCATTGTTCACAATACAGTCATTATAACTATATTTTCGGGAAATGTGTAATAGTGTTTATAAAAAATTGATGAACCGAGTCACAAATATTAGAAGACAATTATGTCACTTAGTATAAGAATCGTCGAATTTGTGATTGTTGCATACAGACGTAAGTTAAATATTTAAGTCACTTCACTGCATGCATATTAATGTAAAATTGAATTACTTGCAATTTTATTATGAGTATTTGTAATTATAACAATGCCACTTTTGTCCAAAGGGGAATTTTCATTGTTTTGCAAAAATTAAAAAATATTTATGAGTGAATGCCGTTGTTGTTCTCTATTCCATTGTTGAAAATACAAGCGTCTGCATTATTCACTGCGATAATAAGAGCAAATGTATACATGTCCGATTTAAAATTACCACGTTGCTATTATTTTATTCGCTATTATGACTTTACTTTATTTGAAATTAGTTTGAAAGCCCACTTATCAATTTGTTAAGAAATACATGCCTATTTAATTCATTTTGTTTCCAAGTATTTTTTATTGCGTAAAAATCGTTTCGAGAATTGTTTTAAATCATTAATCATTACTGTTGTAGATACAATAGACAAAGGTGATTTAGAAAAAAAAATACTGTACTTAAAAAAAAAACTTTTCTGGTAAAAATTGACATCTTACACATGTATCTTAGGCCAGGGCACTAGCGAAATATTCTATTTAGGGGGAGGAGGCACAACCAATTAATTATTGTAGTTAGTCAACTATTGTACCTTAATTTTCCAACTAATGTTTTACATACACGCGCGCAAAGATATGCATTTATAAATAAAAATAATTATCAAACGTTAATATTAAATCTACTTAATTTAATTCCACTACAAATTATCTCAAGTTGAGGAAAAATTTTTTGTTGCTTCTATCACACCCTCGCCGGGAATCGAACCCCAAAGACGTTCTTAATATAGTCGGTTAATATTATGAATTTCGCCTGTGTTTCGTCTACAAATTCACCATATTGTTTAGTTCAATAGCATCGCAAAGATCTTTTTCGCTTTATATCATCATTAGGGCATTATAGCTCTCGTTTTTAATGATGGACCCTTAAACTATTTTATGTAAAGTAATTTTTTTTCGTTAGAAGCCATCGAAAAGCTTGCTGTATTTATTAACTGACAAAGACGAATAGCTATTTTAAATTTAGTAGCTACCTTCAGGACCCGGGGCGGTCTTAACTCTAAAGACGGCCCTGGCTACTTCATGATTCCTTACATAAAAGAGCATATATCAAATAATATCTATAATTGCGTATGAAGCGGTTATGACTCAGCCATATGATCACGTGTAGCAGTCAATTTTTCAGTATTTTCGCTTATAATATTCTTTTTGTCTAAAGGGTTTGTGAAAATGTTTGAGATTGAATTCAAACGTTCCACAACCATTTTGAGTTTATCTTGTAAAAATTTTTTAATTTTATCTTAAACGCATAAAAATGTTCTTTAAAACATATTTATATCAAAGCCGCTGCATTCGATTCACAGTTATCAGTTTTTGATTGAATTATTCGTTTTCGGGGATATCTTTGAAAATCCTGTCCTAGATTAATTTGAACTCTTCTAGCAAAAAATTTGGAACTTTCTATTAAAAGTTGAAAATTATATCTTCTTCATGCCTTATTGAAGTAAGAGAATCTCTGGTTGTATTAATAACGTGTATTGCGTCTACAATGTTCAAGTCTTCCTTTCCTTTGTATCTTAGTATTTTTGCGTACCAGAACAGATTTATGAATTATCCCTTCAAATCGCTGTTGATGTTGGAAATGCAAATGCTTCTAGTAATCGACTTACTATGGATTATTTATTAATTAAACTACGATATAACATGTATATCATTAGATACAACACATCGCTATTATTCAATCATCGAATATTTATCCTTTATATGTTTATTTGCATTTTTGGTTAAAGATCGAATTTTCTTTGTTAGATCAATATTTACATCCTCTTTAGACTAGACTTTGTATTACATATTAGTTGTAGTCTCACCGTCAGTCCATTATCACAAGTTTTGTTTTTATGTCAAACTTCATTTAAAACGTATGTATACTTTTTGTATAGAAAATGCTTAGACTCGGAAGAACTTCGTTATGAAGAGTTTTCACTATGTCTTAATAATAATCATTGTTTTTCGTAAATTATCGAAAGTGTAAACTTAATAGGTCATAAACAATATTATGTTTAACTTTTAAAAACTGATATCAAAAACTTGTAAGCCACTATAATTATTTTAAGTTTACATTAGGTATATGTATTCACTTCAGCGTTTATAAATAAAAAACGGACAGACAGACACAAGAGTGATCGTATAAGGGTTCTATTTTCCAATCGGACATACGGAACCCCAAAAATTATGATAGGTGATCCTAGTTAATGTTATGTGACTCACACCCTGCTCTAAAAACAGCTCAAAATTTTTGAATTGTCATCAATATTTCTAAACGCATTGTATTCAAAGTAATTACAAAAATTAATTACGATTATTATTGGGCATGCTTTCACCTCTATCGACAACGATTCATTACTATCGGCGTATTGAAAAGAATATGTAAAGAAGTATCTTAATGTCAAAAACAGATTAACGAGTGAATTGTTGCAGTTAGAGGTAAAAAAACTTTTTATTCGATTTCCACAGTGCGTTTTACGTTCACAAAATGATCGAATTAATTATTTACCCACAACAGGGTTTCCGCTGCTGAGAGGGACTCGGCATACGGATGAACAATATCGAACTTCGCAGACTTTCTAGTCCAAGTCCTACTAAAAATGGACCAACCGATACCACTGATTCCCAACATTCCCCAGGTACTCATTTTATTTAGCCGTTTGTTAATACAGAAGAATCTCGATAATTAGCACCTAGGTAACGTAATAATTTTAGAAAATTCCCCTTCAGGTTTTGAAACATTCCTTACTTGTTATTCTTGGCTAGTGTAAATTTATATTGACTGTTTGCAGTGCCTCTGTATGGGGCCTTATACTTAAGGGGGCCTCTTGTTCATAAAACTAAAGGAAACAATACTGATAATCAAACACTGTGTCACTAATTAATATTAAAAATTAAGCCATATATCTTTAGGTGTAACTGTATAATTATTATTGTCTTACATAACTGTTTTATTAAATAATAGCTTATTTTGTAAAAACTGAAGACAAATTCACTGTTTAGTCTCAAAGTTCTTAGATTTTATACAGTAATTAATATTTTTAATATCTTGTTGAAAAAAATTCTGAACTGAAACAAAACCTCGGAATATCTAGTTGATAATACTATGTCCCGTACAATTTTCGGAAGAAATAAAGGATAAATTATCCAACGATAAAATATTGAAGTGGTAGTGTCCTTGTTGTTTGTTATTTTATTGCATTCGTTCTTATATTTTCTACTTTTTAAAGATTGCTTCTTTCTTCTTATAAACTTTTTAACGTGCTTTTGTATTTGGACTTATCGAGATTCTACTGTTTTTTTTTCTCGTTTTATAAGGTTTTTTTTTAATTTTTTTCGTATATATAGCGCATCTTTATCGTATTTTCTATATGCCATCTCTTCAACAATTTATAAGAATTAACTACAAAGTTATATGGTACAAAAGATAAAAAGTCAGAATAATGTCATCTTACCTTTAATGATATAATTTGTAAAAAATGTAAAATATAAACTAATGTACAAAGTAGCGCATGATCTTCGTATGAAATTTACTTTGCAATGTTATCTTATGTAGCATGATTATTATTAGTAATCAAAGGTCATGAAATTACGTACATAGAAATATATTCCCATGGACATCGACAGCATCTAAATATAATAAGCAAAATTTTTAAAAATAGACATTGGCGACATGCTTACTCGAATTTAATAACAGTTAAAAAATACTTTTTGCGATATATCAGTCTTTAANCATTTAGGAATTAATAATAATATGCATAAAAAAAAGGTAAAATACTGCCGAACAATCATATAATATTATAATCAATTTTCAAGCAATTTATCATTATCGTAATATTACATATTAGTCTGAACTCGGCCAGTTTTTACGAAGAAAGCACTTTACATGCCGATAATGTGTTTTTAGTAGAGTTTGTCGCAACAGTAACATTTTAATTAAAGGCCTGATGTTTACATAAAATACCTTTATTCTCTTCGATCTTATTATCTTTGTAGTTACTATGTCGTTAAAACGGACATTTCAATTGTCACATAATGGAACAGGTTAAATTTGTTGCGAAGCAATTTGAAACTTTTAATTATTAAAATTTTAATTCGTTCTTACTTATCGTTAGTATTTCAAAAATAATGTATAAACGGTACGAATATTTATATGTATAATTAATATTATAAATGCGAATCTGTTTTTTGATCATCTTGAAATTTTGTACACACATCGACAGGGGTACAGAAAATATCTTTTATCCAGAAAAAATATACTGTTCCCGAGGAATAGAAACATCACCGTCACAGAATAAACATGGCGTCATTTTGTAACGGACCTATAACGTAAATCCGCCATGTTTAATATTTTTTACGTAAGTTTTATTTAAAGAAAAGTGGAAGTTTAAAAAGAGCTTTACGTCTATTGACCTATACCTTTTACTTTCCCTTTACTACGAGCTAATTAATTTAATTGGCCTGTAAATATGTCCACGGAGACTTAATGTAAAGGTCGAATAATTTAGAAAAGAGGTTAATTTAGGCAGGATGCTTTCAGACTAATTGGTAGCTCGCGTTAATTGTCGAATTTAATTGGGAGCACTACTTATACCGTAGAAGACAGATAGGGGTGTCATACCAACTGCTCGCTTTTATTTAACGTTAATCGGCAGATTTCGTAGTATTAAAATCTTTAAAAAATCTGTTCTTATCGCCGATTGTATTAAAAAGTATTTGATTTGCATAGAAACTATATAGGGTAGTCCATTAAGTATATCTTGCGGTCTTGCAATTGAAATTAAAAAACTGTTTCCAATAAAAGTTATCCCTGGTCAGCGGAAAATAATTTCAGAGATGGCGGACTTCCGGATATTCCGTCTGCTGTCTTACTTCAAATGGAACATCCTGAATACTATTACTTTTTTGAATTTAGCACTGATTTTAATGTCCAGTTCGTTAAGCATAGTTTTTACCTGCGCGGTATGTTTTTGGAGTTATTTACTAATTTTTAGAAAATTTGTAATTTGTAGTAGCTTACAAAAATTTTAATATCTCGGCAATTAAACTCGATAAAAAGATGATGCGTCTGCCGCTGTTGAAGAGAACATGAAACGCACTTGACTTTCCATCTAAAAATTTCTTTCAAAGCACATTAAATCATTACTTTAGTAATGTTCAAATTTTAAATGTTGCAAACATCAATAACTTATTTTTTTCAAATCGAAAGCTATGTTCATTTTGACGTTGTCGGATACAAAATTAAATTCTCTTTCGATTTTATTAAGGCATATTAGCGTCTACGCTTGACAGTTTTCAAAATAATTGCTATTTATTAATTATTCTGCAATGTCCAGAAAAAACGGATAAATAGATCGTAGGCGGTATGGGTTTATAGCCGAAAATACATTCTGTCATACATATTTAATCGAATTATTGATAAAGTTACTTAAACTCAACACAACACAAACAATTAATTTCATAAACAATTGCTGTGACTTTGAAAGCAGAATTTTCTCAAAATGGTTTATTGCCGAAGTGGATATAACTTCGATATAAACAATACTGGGAACAAACTTTTTTTACAATGAATTATTAAATATGAAATTGAACGGTTTTATTCACTTCGGCACTAAACTATTTTGAGAAAATTATGCTCGTGAAGTCACGGCAATCTTTTATGACATTAATTGTTTGTGTTGTGTTGGCTTTAAGTAATTGTATCAATAATTCGAATAAATATGTATGACAGACAGGGCCGTCTTTAACCTATTGGAGGCCCAGGGCACATAAGCCTTACCGGGGCCCCTACAGCTTTAGCAGAGAATNCCTTGAACCCAATAACTTTTGCAGAGGTTATTTTCCGATTTGTAACTTTCCTAGCGGAAGCATTAGGTTTTTATGCGAAATTTATTTTTGATCTCCACATATTAGACTAGAAAAAAATTCATGGATATTCTGCTTAAAAGAAAGGAATATGAGTATTCAATTCAGATGAAAAAGTTGGTCTAAATATTTTGTTTTTTTATCTTTTGATACATAAATTTCTTACCAAAATTGTCGCTTTCCCTTCGGCGTATTTAACCACTAGTTTTAAAATATAAAAGAAAACTAGAAGAAGAGTTTCTCATGAAAAAATAGCTAATTCGTACAGGTACGTTTACTTTGTTAGAAATACTTTTTCCTTTCTATTACAAAATCAATTTAATGTTTAAGATACAAAGTATACAAAGCAATTTGTAAGTGAGTGAAACACAGGGTTTTACTACCTACTAATTTCCGTCAGTCGATGTCAGAGTTCTGCATAAAATAAAATGAAAAATAAAGCAAAAGTAGCGCTTTTAGTTGAAACAGACACGCCTCGTGCTTCCGTGTCCTTTATGTAGTCCCGAAGGAAAGGGTGTGCCATTTAAGGGAGTGCCGCGAAATGTCATCCTTATTGAATGAAGTCAGATTTTCGCGATTCGCCTTATTGTTTCATTAACGTCTTGACGAATTCTCTCACACGCACTCGTAACAATAGAGTCTAACCGTCATTTAAGTGTTATTATCATCTTTATTACTTGGGATTACTTAATTCACTCAAACGAAAATCATGTTTGAATATACATATACTTCCTTTATTCGTGGATAACGTCGAAACGTATTGCGAGATTTGTCGATCCGTGTATTTTGGCAATAAAAAAGGTTTGAAACGTTTTGCCATTGCATACAACGTGTATGAAAAGTCGGGGATGCTAGATATAAAACAGAGAAGGATGCATTTTGTAAAAAACGCATTGATTCTACACTTAAAATGGTATATATGTAAATAGTTTATTCAAACTTCCTTGGTTATTTACATTTCATTCTTTTCCGTTTCCCATCCTTCATGCTGCATCTCTAACAATAAAAGAAGTACCTTCCCTACTTATTATCGTACCCTGTTTTGAATGTATTATAATAAATCTAAGAGTAATTCTATTTTATAATAATGTCAACAGAATAAGATAATATTTATTTTTCCTCTTTTACTTATATCTACGCGTAAACCTTTTTTTGTCTAACTATTGTTATCTACCCTCCCTTTCCCTTTTTCTTTTCTTTAAAATTTCTATTGATACTGTCAGTCCCCTACCATTTTCATTTATCAATTTTCTATACATTCTTCCCTTGCTTTATCGTTTACATCCTCTTCTAAAACATGTCTTAACGTCTCATTCCCTTTTCAACATATTCTATCTTTTCTGCTCTCTTCTTTCATACAGCACATTCTTTCATTACATTCATTCTCCATTCTAAATTTCGCTATTACTGCTATACCCTCTCTTTCCCTCAAGTATTCTAGTAATGAGTCCTCTTGCCATTCTTCTCACAGCAATTCTTTCAACCCTTTCACATATTTTAACTTTTCTATACTTTTTAACTATTTTCCTCTTATTATTTCGTAACTCCTTTTCTTCACCATATTCTCTACATCCATTCTCTCTCTTCTCCATTCCTCTAGTTGTTCCTGATTTCTACATTTTTTTTTCCCTTCACATAATATAATCGGCTGTACTTTTTTCAAGTTTAGAAGCCATTTGATATACTTCTTCCCTACATTGTACCTTTTTGTACTCTTTCTATCCTATATCTCTACTCCATAAAATACTACACCTTGGATTATTGAATTAAACAC